AGACGTGGCTTTTGAAAACTTCCCCCCGAGTTAGGTTTTTCATTGAATTAGCTCCACCAAATCTGCATCGTTTCTGAGAGAATTCACAACCCATCTTCTCAAATCCTTCACTTGGGCTGTCGTGTACTTCCTCCTACCTATATATACAGTTCAAATGGCTCTCTCTTACTTGATGTAATTTAATTTATTGAATGCATCTGTGATCCCTATTGTTATTGGTTTCTTACATAGATTGGTGCGCTTTGCAGATAAGTAGGCGAGCACAGAGTGGGTGCAGAAGCACAACAACAGCCACCCCACAGGCTCCTGTTTCTCGGACCGCGCCGCTCTTGTTTGTCGCTCGTGCGCTTACAATTTTTAAACACAGATCTCGAGGCCCCTTTTTCCGCTGGGCTAAAACTGACATCTGTAACCACCAATTCTTGCCTTCCCCCGCCATTTTCTCTTATTTATGAGGAGGCTGAGGCTGATCTTCCTCCATTGGGCTTGAGTTGAGCTCGATGCAAAGTACTTGGATAAGTTTATTTTGAGGGTTTGTTTTATATTTGCAATCAAAGGGCGTGGAGCATTGACTCTTGAGAAGTTGCATTGCATTAGAGCCATAATCTTAGCCGGGTCGGTGACACTGTTGAACTTTCGCTGTTGCTTTGCGGTGATCTCGAGGTATAGCCTTCGAACCTTGCCTGCCTTGGGCTGTGTTTCCTTTATTTGATTATTCCTTTTCTTTTGGGGGTCCCATTTTTTCTTTCTTTAATCCAAAGTCGTGTGGATTAATTGCATTAAAATTTGTAAGGAACATGCAAAAACCAGTTACCAGTGTCGTTGGTACATTCCTGAGGTTGGTCGTTGAGCTGGTCATTTGTACATAAGTATTATATCTGTATATTAAATTTCTGCCGACTCATTTGCCTGTGGACCATGTTCACTGTTTAGTATATTATTACTCAGTGAAACTCGGGCCGTGATAATTGGATTACGTGCATATTAAAGAAGTTGCTGAGTTCTTTCCTTTGCTCTCTTGTAGAATTGATAAAGAGTTAGTTTGGCCTTTGATGTGGAATATTGGTTCTAAAACAAGACATGCTGAGTTCTGATGGAGACACAGACGTTTTCTTCGACTCAGAAGATCATTTGCCATCAGAGGAGTCCTTGGTAGCGGAAGAAGAAGTGGATTTCAGCAAGTTGGGATATGAAATATGGATGAGTGAGCCTCAGAGCATTAAGAAGAGAAGAGAACGGTTTCTCCAAGAAGTTGGTTTGGTTGAATTTGCATCTCCAAGGACTTGTGCACAGGATTTTGAGATTGAATCTAGTGGTTCATCAGGGAGGATGGAATTCGAGAGACTTACAGAGTGCAGTGGAGCTGTATCTAGCTCTGACTATACACCTAGCTGCAATGTGGAGGACAACGATTTGGAAGTATGCCAAAACGAGACACCGAATGCGGAATTCGGTGAGGAGGAGGCAAGTGAAACTCCGTTTTCTGCTTCTGACTCCAGCTTTCAACAGTGCAAAGATGAAGCTCACGTTGAAAGTTGCCAGAATGTTGATGTGGGTAGAAAGAAAATGAAGACTTGGTGGAAATTTTTTATGAACAAGACTGCAAGACGAAGAACAAGTACGGGGTTTTCTGAGAAATCGAAATCGAATCTGGAAAGATCCAAAAGTTGCAGAATGAAGGTGTACCAAAACAAAAAGAGGTGCTCAGAATTTAGTGCACTATACATGAGACAGCAATTTTGTGCACACAAGGGCTTTATTTGGACAATGAAGTTTAGTCCAGATGGGAAGTATTTGGCGAGCGGAGGAGAAGATGGAGTCGTACGTGTTTGGCGTGTAACATATGCAAACGGCTCTAGAGTGTTTTTAGCCAATGACAAACCAAGAGAAGGGAAGTCTAGTTTAAGCGGTAAACCGTTGAGATTTACCACAGTTGTCATTCCTGAAAAGGTTTTTCAGATTGATGAGTCGCCAATGCAAGAATTCCATGGACATTCAAGTGATGTCTTGGACATAGCTTGGTCCAATTCAAACGTAAGTCATCTGCGACAACTGTTTGTTTTTTTAAAACTGTCAAGTGTCAAAGAATGAAGCTAACTTGAACCTCTTGGTGCAGTGTCTTCTTTCGTCCTCGAAGGATAAAACCGTTCGCTTGTGGCAAGTCGGTTCTAATCAATGTCTTGATGTTTTCCACCATAAAAACTATGGTAAGTTTTAAATTTCTGCATCCACATCATTTCTTACTGGCTTAATTCTCTTTTCTAAATTGTTATCACTTTCTATGTTGGGACCAGTGACTTGTATCCAATTCAATCCAGTGGATGAAAACTACTTCATCAGTGGCTCAATTGATGGCAAAATCCGGATTTGGGGGGTGTCTCAGCAGCGCGTTGTCGATTGGGCCGATGCCCGAGATGTAATTACTGCTTTATCGTATCGACCAGATGGGAAGGTGCGAATTGTGAGCTCTCACAAATGAATGTATATGCTTGGACTACTAATATGGTTCCTAACATATATGCGGTGCACTGATCATACTTTGTTCTTCTATGTGAGCAGGGATTTGTTGTTGGTTCTATTACCGGCACCTGTCGATTCTACGAAGTATCAGGTACAAACCGCGGATTGCATACCTTTTATTTGACATTTTATACAGATATTGCTCTTCAACCCTTTTACTGATTTAGATTTTTATGGCGATTTAGGTGATTATCTTCATCTGGATGCTCAGATCAATGTCCAAGGTAGCAAAAAAGCCTCAGGCAAAAGGATTACTGGCATTCAGGTTCTACTCAGAACTTTGATTAGTTCCTCTGCTAAAAACTATCTTCTTTTGTACCATTGCCTCAACTTGAATGCCAACTCTCTGCAGTTTTGCCGGGAAAACTCTCAAAGAGTGATGATAACTTCAGAAGACTCTAAAGTGCGGATATTTGAAGGAACTGACATCGTCAACAAATACAAAGGTACGAATCCAGCCCGAGCACTCTCTTATGGCTCATCTCTAGTTGAATGGTCAATTACCCAAATAGATGTCTCTACTGTTTCCTAATGAGTATTGAAATCTCTGTCAATCAGCTCTCCTAGTTGAAGCATGAAGACAGAGAAAGGGGGGGAGGGGGGGTGCATTGACTTTCTCTCTCCTTGTGTATGCTCATTTGAATTATTCATGAACAGTGATTGATGCCTTGAAAACTCATCTTAAAATCTAAAACTGTGTCCATTGCATCTGTTCTTGAATTAGAAAGATCTATTGATGGGAAGCTGTGTTTCTGTCTCTTCATAGCTGTGTATTGGACTATCATATTTGTTAGCTTTGAAATGAAGGCCAGGAATTCTCAGCTAACTTGTGGTTCTTGTTAAGTGAATCTTTATGGTTTAGATGCTTACCTTCTGGTTTTGAAATGTAGGTCTACCGAAGTCGGGTAGTCAGATGTCTGCTTCCTTCACGAAAAGTGGGAAACATATAATATCCGTCGGAGAGGACTCTCGTGTTTATATGTGGAACTACGATAGCCTTCGCATCTCGTCGACAAAAGAAACGAAATCTCAGCAGTCCTGTGAGCATTTCTGTTCTGATGGTGTATCTGTTGCTATACCATGGCCTGGCATTGGAACAGAACCGAAGTGTTTCGGTGACAACCACCCGCAGTTTTCACAAAGACAGGACTACCAAGGGGCTGCTTCGGAGCGTTTTTCCCTTGGTAATTGGTTCTCTGCCGATGGTTTATGCCGGGGATCTGCAACATGGCCAGAGGAGAGACTACCTCTCTGGGACTTGCCAGTTGCAGATGATGAAAATTGCAACCTGCAACACCAAGATCATCATCCGAACGGTCAGAGCGACGCACACAGCCACAAATCTCCACCCGAAACATGGGGCCTCGTGATCGTCGCGGCTGGATTAGATGGAAATATAAAAACATTCCACAACTATGGATTGCCCATCAGGCTTTAGGAATTGAATTGAAGCTCTGCTTTGAATCAGCTCACTTCCCTGAGCTTCCAAAAGCAGAAGAAAAGAATTCAGAAAATGAGAAAACATGAAATCATTTCATGTGGTTGATTCTTTCTCGAGTTGTATCTTCCTACCAGTAGTACTATAGAGGTGAAGCCTTTCATTTATTTATTGATTCTAAATTGTATGTTTTAGAGGTTTTGGAAACTTGTAAATCCCAAGAGGCAGGCCACCATTTCTTTTTGTTTGAGTTTTGTGAATATTACTGCCAATGTAAATGGAATACACCTAGCAGATTTTTTGGTCATTTGGTTGCTTTTCTTACCTCATAGCCATGGTCAAGTGTGTTATTTTATTGCTTTTCAACTCCAACCTGCATGTTAATAACCACTTGATAAGTTCCAAATTTGTACTCTTGAGCACTTTAAAGCCTGTTTGTATCTTTGTTGGCAACTTTTACAACTTTCCAAGGATCCTAAGCAATTTACTACCTGTCAATATTTGAATATTGTTTATGTTACCTCCTCTTTGTCAAAAGCTCGAATAAAAAACTTTCATGGGCAAATGGGGCATGAGTGGAGACGGAGATAGAGAATATAATTCCATCGTAACTCATTCTCATTCATACCTAGTTTATTATATATAGAAAATTTAGAACAATATTGTTAATTTTAATATTGAGAAAAGTATTAAGAAATTGTTTAAAAGGGTACACCTTTAATTTCTTTTTAAAAAGTTATTTAATTGATAAATTATTTCTAATAATAATAATAATAAGCACAAGCACGGAAGTTTCATGGGATGAGGATTGAAATAAGGGGTAGGGACAGGAGCTCTTTTCTCGTTCCCACCCCGCTTCATGAGCACTCCTGGATAGAAAAATTGAAGCACCATTTGGAAGTACTATACAAAATGCTCAAGATATTCATGTAGAGTGTCATTTGTTGGAGTCAATCTCGGGCATTCATAGTTTTACCACTAAGTTGTCACGGAAAGAATTTGATCATTTTTGGGTAGGGGTCTTTCCATGTTCAAACAAATGAGGGGCAGCATCCAATCATTTGTTGCCATGGAGAGGTGGCAAAGCAGCTCAGCATTCATCAATTTTCTCATCTTTTAAAATCATTTCAAATTGGAGATTCCACACCCAAATTTGCCTCTCAAAAATCACCAACAGCATTTTCTCTTTTTCTTTTTTTAAAGGAAACCTAAATTTTTAATCTATACTTTGAAAATGAGTCTTGTATCTAATATCTTCGACCTATTAAATACAAAATTGAGAGATTTAAAATATACTAGATACAATTAAATTTTAAAATATGTCTTAATTTTAAAAGTTTTAGAATTAACGATTTCGAGAACCATTAGATATTTTTTAAATTTTAGAGATTTATTGAACCCCTAAAATATTTAGAAACAAAACTAGTTGTTTTATAAATTCTTTTTAGTATAATTAATGGGACATGAATATTCAAACTTATGACCCATTAATAAAAGTAAAAGTGTTTTATTCGTGTTGCATATTAAAATAAATGGAATGAGTTCCAAATACGTACTAGGTGGGATGAAAATGATTTTTTAACTAAAAATTTATTTTACAATTCCCAATTAGCACCTCAAAACCATTGATGAATTAATCCTCCCAAAAAATTTAAAAAATAATTAACAGCGAAACGTGGACTCGTAGGGAGCGCAATTCTCCAAGTAATTTGAACACAATACAAAGCCCAAGATATTTTAATTTTATGGGAAAATGGCAGTCCCCTTTGGCTTTCATACAAGAAAAATGATGTTATCCAATTCAGAACAAACAACAGCGGCTTCGGCTACGTCCCTCTCACTCCCAGTTTCCATCAATGAGAAGCTGAAGCAGGCTCTAGAACCCTAAACCCACTCTTGAATCGGCACCTCAGAGACAGGGGAAGACCAAAAAGAAGCCCTTGTGGTGGGTGTGTGGTGGTGGCATTCATTCTTGGTTGTTCGTTTCTTTAATGGCAATCCCCACGTCCCTCATTCCCTGTTTATCTTTCGAACCAATCTCCAGTTCTGCTTCTTATTCTTCCTCCTCGTTTCCATCGCAATCTCTCGGTCCCTTCAAGCCCCATTGCCGTGCTCTAAAGATGGATAACCATAACCCCACCTCAAAATCAAATGCCCCGCTCCTTGTTTGCTGTTCGGCTCGCGAAATTGGCTCCAACTCTGACCCTGTCAACGGGAGGTATGGACATGGCCGCCCCTGGTTTTTTTTATCTCATATTTTGTTGGTGATAGCTTCTAATCTGCGCACCCGTAGATGTGTGTTGAATTTTTGAATTTAGAAATTATAGTTTGATTATGGAAAATGATTCGTTCTCTAATGGTGATTTGTGTTGGGTTTTGATGACCATTTGAGGTGGGGTTGTTTTTGCTTTGATAGTTTTCTGACGGACCGTCGTGAAGTGGAATAATTAGCGGAGATTTTTCTGTAGTAGGACGAATGTGTGAAGGATGAGATGTTTCAGATTATTTTGGAGATTTAATTTCTATTATTGTTTTCTGTGACTGTTGGAATTACCGGGGGTTGTGCAAGACGATTAATTCAAGGATGGAAAGAGACTATTTTTGTACTTCCCAACTACTTTGGTTTGATGGGATATTCGCATTTCATCTTTTATCTTTAAGAAATAAAAGAAGATAATATTGTGTTGAATGAGATTTACTATCACCGGGATTGTTGTGTACCTGTACAAGAATCTTAATTTTTTCAAATGTGGACTTCAAATTGCAAACAACACTCCAAACATAAGAAAGTAGAAACTCGTTTCCTCTATGAATATATGTACATGATTGGTTGTCATAAGAATGATAAGGGTCTCGTCAGTGGTTTGAAATTGACAAAATGCCGTTTAGTTAAAATGAGTCAACTTTCCACAGAATTTCAATTAGTTTACCTTGCCTTTTTGGGTATACCCTGTCTTCAAGTTGGTCTGGATTGTTCTTGAGCTACTGTTGGATTGTTCTTCTAATTGATTTTCAACAAGGCTTTTCATTTGAATTTCTTGAGAAAGGTGATTCATCATGATTGGAAAACTATGTGTACTTAGTGATGACATATGCTTCTCATTGTTTCTTTGTTGGCTGTGGCTTTCTTTGAATTGGATATATGCTTCTCATGCTCTTATTTAAAGATAATCTGGTGTTTTCCATTTTCATTTTTTTTAATTACAATCTTTTGCTCCAGCATGAAGCATCAGATATCATCTATTGCTCCTAGTGGGATGACATTAAATGAAGCTTCCATGTCCATGCCATCATGTAAATGGCGAAGGGTATTGCTTAAAGTAAGTGGTGAAGCACTTGCTGGTGATCGATTACAGAATATTGATCCAAAGGTTGGTGTATGAAGGAAGATAATGTTTTACATGGATAATGTGTGCTTCCTTTTATGATTCTTGACACCCTGCATCTCTTTGGAGCTACTTTTCGACTGCAGGTTACTATGACAATTGCGAGGGAGGTTGCATCTGTAACTCGACTGGGCATTGAGGTAGCCTGACCTTTATATGTGTACAAGATCCTTTTTTCTATATGATTTCATGCGTATGTTCAATTGAATCTCAATGCTGTAATAGCAATATTCTGTTTACTGTTGAGAAATACAAATCCATTGATAGAATTTGAAAGGAATAGATAAGAACGACGTGTTCTGGACCAACTTTGACTAAAAAGAACTGAGCAAACAGCTTTGAAAATTCCAATTCCTCACTCAGTTCCTTACGTTTGTAGATTGGGTCAACTTATATGTTCTCTTGTTTTAGAGTCATGGAGTTCTGAACCCATTTTCTTTTTCCTTGTTCTGAATGTACAATCATTATGGATGATGTTTTGTTTCAGGTTGCAATAGTCGTTGGTGGGGGGAACATTTTCCGCGGATCCTCATGGGCAGGATGTAGTGGTTTGGACCGTTCATCTGCTGATTACATCGGGTAATTTCTTTTGTACTACATGTAGGTAGCACCTTTGATCCCATAAAGAATATTACTGATTTGTAATGCAGTTGAATTTTGTGTTACGTGGGCTTCTGTAAGTCATTTGCTACCACATTTTGATATTGCACATACCTGCATACTTTTTTCAATGTGAAAATTCACATAAAATGAAGATGGAATAGGGATATATTATCAGTTATGTTGAACACATTAAAGCATATTATTACTTGTTACTGTTACTCAAACGGAAACGAAAAAGAAACACATTCCATGCATGTTTTCCTCTCCCCAAAATGCTCGACTTCTCGATGGTACAGGAGGTGAAGTAGGTGAAGCAGTCTTCGAGCAACATTCCTAGAAACAATCACCACTAGTAGATATTGACTTGTAATCTCTAGTATTAAGATTTTTTCAAGTATCTCATGTTGGTGGACCTTTTACCTTACTGGTTTTGAAATTTTAGTTGTATATTTCAGGATGTTGGCAACAGTCATGAATGCTATATTTCTTCAAGCAACGATGGAGAGTATAGGCATTCCAACACGAGTGCAGACTGCATTTCGCATGTCAGAGGTTGCAGAGCCATATATTCGACGCAGGGCTGTCAGGCATTTGGAAAAAGGACGGGTTGTGATCTTTGCAGCTGGTACGGGCAATCCGTTTTTCACTACAGACACCGCAGCAGCCCTCCGTTGTGCAGAAAGTGAGATGAAACATTTAACTTCTTACTTTAAACTAATTGCTGAAACTTGTTTGGTGGTTGGCAACAACTTATCTTTATAGCTCTGACTTTCAAATCGTCTATCCAGTTAATGCTGAAGTTCTGCTGAAAGCGACGAACGTTGATGGGGTTTATGATGATGATCCAAGGCAAAACCCGAATGCTTGTCTGCTCGAGACTCTTACATACCAGGAGGTGACGTCGAAGGACCTTTCAGTGATGGACATGACTGCCATTACTCTATGCCAGGAGAATAACATTCCGGGTATGTACTGTATATCTCTCTTCAATATTCATACATCACTGTTCTTCTAAACAGCTGAATAACAACAGAAGGCAACATGGGCTGTCAACATTTGCTTAGAACAAACTGAACTAATGATCATCAGCTTCCTCTTGCAGTTGTTGTCTTCAATCTAACGAAACCCGATAACATCTCGAAAGCGATAAAGGGCGAGAGGGTTGGGACATTGATTGGAGGAACATGGAACTCAATGGTAACAAGTTCATGAAGTGTGTGGACCATCCATGCTGCAAGAGCTCATTTTTAGGGATTTGGCAGGAGCTTTAGGACTATTTTTATACGTTTTTCACATTGGTAGCTGTCTCGAACACTCACTCAAATTTTGAATTTTATTTCATGATATTATAAGATTTATTTTTGTAAATAACCCTGTGAAAACAGACCCCTGTTGAAATTTTCATTGAATATTGATGAGTGGTCTTCAATCTTTTTAACTGCACATTCATTAATCTGTCAAAGTTATTTAGCCTGAAGTCTAAAGTTTATATCTCAATGACTTTGTTGAACAACGTTGACATTTTTCTTGTCATGATCTTATGAGAAGATTTATTTTGGTTCAAAAAATTTTAATCAAAATCTCTACTCATTGATGATGTTAAGATCGAATAACCAAATGGTCCGCAATATTCTAAAAACATTTAATTTTTGAACTTGTCCTTAACCGTTGTAGGTTTCAAACTAGTGAAAATGAAAATTAAAAATATATTTTTTGTTTTGTTTCTTTTGCTTGAAAATAAAAAAGTATAACTCAAACATAACTTTACACAAGATATGATGTTTAGTTAAAAGTCATGAGCGAAATTTGAGTTATTTGACGTGAGAGATCAGGTAAGCTACAAGCGATACTAAACACCTTATAAATCACATAAACATCTCTCTTCTATTAGTTCGAGTATATTAGATATTTGATAAAATTCTTTGAAGAGATTTAATTTAGCATACAAATTAAAATATGTTTGATAACTTCTAATATGAATTACTCTTTTTAAGTTTTAATTAATTTCTGCATCTCTATAGGGTTAATAAATAAAATTATAGAAGACAGTAATCTGCATGTAATCCAAGTGACTCTATCTCACTTAATTTTAAATGAAAGTTTGTTTAACTTTTTTCTTTCTTCTTTTCATCACTTAAAAAAAGAATCAATCTAACTTGTTTTTCATTAATCAATGTTATTTTCGATATATTATTTATTTTTATTTTGACCAAAATACAATACAACTAACTTACAATTTTTATTTAACATTCTAGTTAAAAGGAAAAAAATGTTAATTTTTTAATGTGCTGGGCCAAGGCCCAGAGCCGGCATGGGCTATTATGATACGAAGCCCAGTCTCCGCACTCCCTCCATTTTCGGCTTCGTCTTCTTCATTGCATCAAAAACCCGAAATTAGGGGTTTTCGATTTTCATCTTCGAGCTCTGCCTTTGCTCTCTTTCCATTGTTCAGAATGACGAAGTTCAGAAAGCTTGGTCGACCTACAGGTCACCGGATGTCCATGCTGAGGTTCTCCATTTCTTTCATGAACTAATAATATACGTTTTATGTCCGGGATTTTCAATATCTTCTCCTTTTGGCAGAACAATGGTTTCTCAGCTGGTGAAGCACGAGCGCATTGAGACTACTGTTGCCAAGGTATCCCTATGCTGCATTTCAATGTCAATCGCTTTCTTTTTTTGTCATTTTATCTTATAGATATTTTCCCTGTGTCTCAATTGTTCCTTTTTGTTTTACGGTAATCATAGTAAATTTACAGTTTTGTGTTGGTTAGATATATGCTATCATTTTCCTTTTGATTCTCAAACTTCGTTTTCTGTTATTTCTAATTTTAAGACCAGGAACTGTTGAAGAACATTATCATTCTTTGAGATCATAGATTTATAACATTAACGCTATTGATTATACTCTGAATTTATTGCCCTTTTCTTCCACCCTATTTCCAGGCGAAAGAAATTCGACGGCTTGCTGATAATATGGTTCAATTTGGAAAAGAGGTCTGTGTAACTTTAACTTATTTCTCTTTTTTCTCCATCTCAAAGTGTTCTGCCTTCAAAATTCAAATTATGATGTTAGTTGGATTCTTTGTTGATAAGATAATGTATGATATAGTTCTTACCTTTAAGATATTAAATTTCTAGATGGATGGCTAATTTGTAGAGGATAGATGCAAATGGTTAAGATTCAGCCGGTCTGAAATGAGTAACAAGGAAAACTTTGAGGGAGAAGAAGAGGACGAGGCACAGAGGTTGAGTTTTGCAACTCAATTATTGGGCTCAATAAATATACTTTCAGGTTAAGGAGGGAAATGAGATTTGGCCTGCAAATCCACATTGGAAGGAAGCCTAGCCAAATAAAAAATGGGCGTGTCCAATTTATAGGTTAGACCACCAAAATTTTGGCCGAGGATGACTCCTTTATTTTAAATGTATGTCAGTATTAAGTTAGCCTCAAAAGATGGAAACCAGAAAAGAATAAGGGAATATGAGAAAGAAAGACCGTCAGAAGGGAGATTTGTTGTAGGTCAGCCAAACTATTTGAAAGTGAAGTAGCAGTGGTTTAAAGTTCGTTGGATGTAGTTGAAATTAAAGTGGCATAGCATTTTCAGAAACATCCAATGGCTCTGTAGTCTGTATTACGCAAGGGTGTATATAGAGTGAGTTGGTTCTGCTTCTGCTTACTCTTGTCTGCACCTAGTCTATCTGTCATTTACTTCAGATCATAACATACTGAAATTTAGAAGAAAACCAACAAAATCAACGATTTCACTTGTAGAGTTGGTGTAAAAAATTTATTGAACTCTCTTTGCTTCACTATTTGCTTTCTGATTCATAAAAGATAAGCTGGACATGTTATGACTTGTTTTATTTTATTTTCAATCTAGAATTCCCTTTGTGCTGCAAGGCGTGCTGCTGCATTTGTGCGAGGCGACGATGTCCTTCACAAACTATTCACGGAATTGGCTTATCGATACAAGTGAATTTCTAATCTGTTTACCTTTAGTTCATTATTATATTTATAAATATTACATAGGGCAGCTATTATGTCAACAGAGATAGAGCTGGTGGATATACAAGACTTCTTCGGACTCGTATACGTGTTGGTGATGCTGCACCAATGGCTTATATAGAGTAAGTTCATACCATGCCATGGACATCTCCTATATTTCTCCAGCAATACAACAGTAATAAATAATCAATAGCTGAAGTATTTCTCCCATAATGAAACAGTGATGAGTAAATACTCCTGCTACAATCTTTAATTGTCTATTTGTTCTGTTTAATCGGCATGACTACCCCCTTCCCAGAAAAATGAAGGGAAGGGGGAAAATCCCCCCTTACCTTCCTATCCTGTTTGTTGATCAGATGAAACTACCAGAAATTAGAAGAATCTCTCTTTAGCTTTGGGTCAATTAGTGAAATAGCAGATATACTAATTTGATATCTCACTCATGAAAGTTGGATCAATTTTATTAATTCGTAATTTCTGTATTCTATTGATGTAGATTTATTGATAGAGAAAATGAGCTGAGGCAGTCCAAGCCTCCAAATCCTCAACCACAACAGAAGGCTCCATTGGATCCTTGGACAAGATCACGGCTTAGCAAGCAGTTCGCACCCCCCAAAGAGATCAAATCTGACTCTGAAGTGTGATACTTTTATGTTCAATAAAGAAGGTTTTTTCCCCCCCAAGAAACCCATCTAGCCACACCCATCCAGTTTGTTTTGCAAACTTCAGATGTAAAATCAAACAAGCCATAGACAGTAGACACACTACTTTACAAAATTTTATCTCTGGTTCAAGTTTTCCCTCAAAAGAAGTGTAATTTTCATCCTTCGAAGTTGCCCATTTCTTGAGAATTCTACACACTGCCTCGTCCATATAACATGACATCGGACCTTAAATGGATAAAGCCCGGGTCCCTCTCACTGCAACTTATTCAGGAAAAAAAAAAGCTTTAGGTGATTCTGGTTGAATATAGGTGAGAATAAGGTGATGGTGGAATTGTGCATCTGTTGGGGTTACAAATTTTGTCGCCTTGTTGACAGTGAGGAGCAACAATGTTGAAGACATGTTTAAGAGTGATTCTAACTTGTCATTTGTTTAAAATCATTGGTATATTATCGTCAAACGTTTGGGCAGGTTTGTGAGTGATTTTGGCAGTATCAAAAATCAACTATATCTTTTTTTCTTTTTTGATGATTGGGAGTTGTAGCTTTGTTCCCCTATACTCAGGGGCACCTGCACTCGTCACAAGGTTGAAACCTGAGAGACACAAGGATTTTTTGGTATTAGGTTCACCAGAAGGTACGAACTTAAGACATTTAAGTCAATATGACTAAGAGATCTCAGATTTTTATTAATTGGTTGTACCTTGCAGGCTAAAATCACCTCCATAAAAAATAGTCATGTTTGACAATGATAGATTGAGTTTAAAAAATGGTAAAAATCACTCTCAAATATGTCCTTTATCTCTTAACATTATGTTCAAATTTGCCCTTACTCCAACATTGCCTTCAAATTCAACCAGGTATGTTCCAAACAAGGGCCCCCAACCCCATGTCTCTGCGTGCATGCATTTTTATTAAGTTCTAACAGCCGTGGCCTCCTCACCTTGCTTGCTTTGAAGGCAAATTGGCGACTGTTACCCATAGGAGAAAAGGAAAGCGAGTCCTTTTTTAAATAATAATAATAATATTAATAATTGTTATTTATTTTATTTGCTTCACTTATATAAAATGATGCACTTCTAATGTCGATTCTTGACACATTAGTGTTTCATTTCTTTTAGAATATTTACAATCATAGATAATCTGGTGGGGAGTCGAATCTAGAATCCTTTAAACAACGTATAGATACTCTAATTATTGAGCTATGTCATGGATAAATCAGTTTTCTTTAAGTTTTTAATAAGAATTTCTATAAATTAATACATTTGTCCGTTAGTTAAATTTAAATATATAAAAACATAACTAGAATTATACTACCTCATCTTATAGTACATTTACTTAGAAATCTTTGATTGATCTTCACTCAAAAGTCTCCAAAAACTTATTTTTCTTTCTAATTATTATCAACCATGTCTATTCAAACACGAACTCAACTTCCTTAAATTAGTATCAACATATAATTTTTTAATCAGCCTTTTTTTTTTCCAGAAATTGAAGATAAAATACCAAACCCCCGATGAAAAAGAGCTCTTGGCACTCGCAGAACAACAGTCTCCAAACTCTGCCTTTTCCGTTGCTTTGCTTTCAATTCAATCCTCACAATTCCATTTTTATCCCTCTCTTACATTTCTTTTTTTTGCCCCCAAAATATAAAAACTCATAAATGGAAAATATATATATATATATATATATTGGAAAATTATGTGATACGTAGCGATAGGTGCAAACAAACTCCCTCCCACCACCATGCATGACGTCCATCACAAACAACCTTTGCCACTGTCCTTTAACTGCCACCTGTCACTCTCCTATTGGTATTTTGCTTATTTCATGTCGAGAATTGAACTATATTTATTATTTTAATTGTCCACGTGTTGGACCTTATGCTCAATTATTCATTCTTCATTTGAAAGTTTAAACTCTTTTTCATGATTTCCAAATTGGAGTAATGACATTAATAAAAATTAGTGAAATTACCTAAAGGATTAAACCTTTATATTGAGATCTTGACTGAGTTTGTCATTACTAATGGTGTGGGTTAGGTGATGAAAGACCCCTTAAACCTTATATCATCCAATCATAATCAATATTACTTTTTCCAGAAGAAATTAATTCCAATTCCAAAATATATATCATGTATGGGTATTTCACCCCTTTTTACAAACTATATTTTGTTTTTTTCTTTTTCTTTTTTTGAAATTAAATTAGGTGCCGAAGTAGCCGTCCCATTTCTTGAAGTTATATGCCAACTCATTTTGGTCAACAGCAAACATAATAATCAGAGTTAGAAAAATGAAAATGAAGGGTAATCTAATTCCTAAAAATACTCGCATAATTATCAAATTACAATCCCTACTTCAAAATACTTAGAGAGAGTGGAAAGAGGGGAGAGAGATTTCTTTTTAAAGAAAATTTTGGCAATTTAGGTAAAGGCAACCCAAAGGAAAATTTGAAACGATTGGGAGTTAGTTTTGAGATAGATATTAAGAAGAGAGAGATGGGTAGATTTTATAAATTGAGTTAATTAGATGGAAAATGTGCAACTTTGGTCGTAGTTAAAAGTATCGTTTTAAAATATCTGTATAAGATTAAATTTACGGTAATCCGTGAGCTTAAGTTATTGGATTTCATTGATGATTTAACATGGTATTAGAACAAGATGTCCTGCCCAATAATGTCATTTTCTCCTCCACTTAATATTTGATTGTCAACGGTTGAAGTATTGTACAAATTTTAAGCCTATCCGTGAGAGAGTGTTACAGTATCTAAGGAAGAAAAACAAAGTAGGAAATAAGAAAAGAAAAATAACAAGTTGGTGACAGACCCAAATCAATTGAGAAAAAGAAATAAAAATTTGAACTATCAGAACAATGAATATTCATGTACAAGTCACTTGATAGCTGCCCTTCTTATGGCCTTAAACTCTCCCTCTTCACCCTCCCCCCTCTGAATTGAAGCTCCAACATTCTCAGGTACTCTCTATTTCTCTCTCTAGATTCTTTTTAGTTTATGGGCTCTTGAGTTTTGACCCATAAATGAAAGTTCATTTATTTTCTTTCTCTGTGCTTCAAGTCATCACTAAGTTGATTGACAACTTTTGCTCAACAACAACCTCACCCACTTCTCTAACTACTGTTTCTTTAACTCTAATTATTGTACACCATCATCTCTCCCATTAGAGATTTGAGTTTTGACCACTTTTTTTTTTCTCTCTCTCTCAAGACTATATATTAACTGGCTTCTGATATATGTTTTGTTTTCTCTTCTATGACTTGGGGTATCCATTGCATTGAGTTTTGGCAGTGGTTCTGTTTGTAGATCAGATGCTTCAGAGCCATTCTTGTGTATGAAAAAGGAGCAAAATGGGCACCTTCCCAATTGAGACCAGACATAGATTATCTGCATCAATGTAAGTTTTTGCTTTCACTTCACAGCACTGTTTGTAGAGGATGGATTTACTTCATTTTGTAGCCAGTAGTGCTTTAACAAGCATAATCTAATTGTTATGTACAGAATGCAGACTCTCTGTCTCTAAAAAGGGAGCCTGTCAGCTATGGTTTGTAGCTAATTATAGCTCAAAGCTACAAAAAGTAAAGCCATAGGCTCTGTTTCCATGAGCTAATGATTGATCAGTTAGGGACATAGATATGATTCTATGAGATTTGGTATAATATTGTAAGATAAAAAAACCCTTCATTGTTGGAGAAGAAGTTGATTTCTCTGATTTTTCTTGAAATTTCCATCTTTTGGCTATCTGCTATGATAGAAATATAAGCAGCGGCAGTGCAGCACCATTTCATTCTACTTTTTCAATGTCGATGTGCACAAATGTTGCTCTTATCTGACCTTTTGTTGTGATTTTAGATTTGACCAACTTTCCTTTCATTTTGAATCATCAAAAGATTCAATCATCTATGAGTTTTCTATTGCAAATTTGCTATATTGTTTTGTTTCTTTTCTGACTTCTGAATACTCTGACATCAAACTATATTTCTCTATGATGACATATTCAAAAAGAAAACTGCAAAGAAGCAAAGTCAAGGATCTGGACAAGCCCTTCAACTTAGCAGCCCATGAAAGATGTTCAAGATGCAAGCTTCCTCTCTTGAAACTTGTTCTTCTATTTGCTGTTTCTGGCACTTTTGTAACACTTTTATACTCTCCAGAGGTGAACAACCATCTTTCAAACACAACTTCTGGGTATGCTTTGTTTTACCCTTTTTCTGCCCTTTCTGTCGTTAACTTTTCAATTTCTATATCCGGAAGAGGCTAAACTTGCTTTGTTTGCAGGCCAAAGTTTGTGAATAGGTGGATATGGGGCGGCACGGACCATCGATACATATCGCGCCTCGACATTGATTGGGAAGATGTTGTTGAAGTCCTTGAAAAATTAGGGGATAAAAAGGAGTATCAAGGAATTGGGCTTTTAAACTTCAACAAGAGTGAATTGATGAATTGGAAGCAGCTGAATCCTGATGCAGAACAGAGTGTGTTGCATCTGGAGTATGCTGATGATGATGTGACATGGGATTCCTTATACCCTGAATGGATTGATGAGGAAGAAGAAGCTGAAGTGCCCATCTGCCCGACTTTGCCAAAGCTAAGAGCGCCCGGGAAACGGCTCGATCTGATCACCGTTAAGCTTCCTTGTCGGAATGAGGGAAATTGGTCTAGAGATGTGGCTAGGCTGCACTTGCAGCTTGCAGCTGCTAGTGTTGCAGCCTCTGCTAAAGGAAACTACCCTGTCCATTTACTTTTCATCACAAACTGCTTTCCTATACCAAACCTGTTTACGTGCAAGGATCTCGTTGCACGTCGGGAAAATGTGTGGCTGTACCGACCAAACTTGAATGTGATCAGAGAAAAGCTCCAGCTCCCAGTAGGTCCTTGTGAACTTGCACTTCCCCTAAAAGGCAAAGGTCAGTCCTATTACAGAACTTTGCTTCACAAACATGATAACCAATGGCAACTATAAGTTTATAACTGATTCTTTTATAAAGTTCTAGTCTGGAATATATTGCAAAGATTAAATTTACTTTACTCTAACAGTTTTTCTTAACTGATCTAATAAGTTATCTTGCAACTGCAAACAGAGGTTGCTTACTCAGGAAACATGCACCGAGAAGCCTATGCAACGATTCTCCACTCGGCTCACATTTACGTCTGTGGAGCGATTGCGGCAGCGCAAAGCATCAGGATGTCGGGGTCGACTCGGGACCTCGTGATACTTGTTGACGAGACAATCAGTTCCTATCACAAGAGTGGCCTAGAGGCAGCAGGGTGGAAAATAAGGACAATTCAAAGAATCAGAAACCCAAAAGCAGAGAAGGATGCATACAATGAATGGAACTACAGCAAGTTCAGGCTATGGCAGCTAACAGACTACGACAAGATCATCTTCATCGATGCTGATCTCCTAATCTTCCGAAACATTGACTTCTTATTTGGAATGCCAGAGATATCTGCAACAGGAAACAATGGAACCCTCTTCAACTCAGGGGTAATGCTGATAGAGCCTTCAAACTGCACATTCCAGCTTCTAATGGATCACATCAACGAATTCGAATCCTACAATGGGGGAGACCAGGGATACTTAAATGAAGTATTCACTTGGTGGCACAGGATTCCAAAACACATGAATTTCTTGAAGAACTTCTGGATGGGCGATGATGAAGAAACAAAGCAAATGAAAACAAGGCTATTTGGGGCCGACCCACCAGTTCTTTATGTTCTCCACTATCTGGGTACGAAGCCATGGATGTGCTTCAGAGACTACGACTGCAACTGGAATGTGGACATAATGCAGGAATTTGCTAGCGATGTTGCTCATGAAAAATGGTGGAAGGTCCACGACCAGATGCCGGAGCTTCTGCAGCAATTTTGCCTTTTGAGATCGAAGCAGAAGGCGCAATTGGAGTGGGACAGAAGGCAGGCGGAGATTGGGAATTATTCAGACGGCCATTGGAGGATCAAAATTAAGGACAAGAGGTTGAAGAGATGTATAGACAATGTGTGTTCTTGGAAGGGAATGTTGAGGCATTGGGGCGAGACGAATTGGACGGACGATGAGTTTTTTGCGCCCACGCCGCCGGCTATCTCGGCGGCGGCGCTCTCTGGGTTGTGAGATGCGGCGGTAGCGGCAGCGGTGGCTTGATTTTTCCCTCCATTTTTCTTTTACAAGTTCTGGGTTGTGATCGTATTCTGTAAGAAAAAATGGGTGGGAGATTTCTGAAGAACAAAAAGAAACCATATTTGAAGTGAATTTAGGGTTTAGTTGATTTGATGAAGTTGGTGCTTTTGAGGAGGATTCACCTTCAAATTTGTGACAATGTTCTTAGATTATTAAGTTCTTGCAATTAATAAATAGACGAAGTTACAAATTTAGTACGTCCCTCTCTCCTTTTTTAGTACATTTTTTAAAACATGATGATGGGAAAGAAACATTTAAATAATTTATAACTTATTATACTTTTTTAAGGTTAGGAGATTTAAAGTATTTTCCGTTAGAAAGTTGTGTTTGAACTTATGCATGTTTTTTTTTTAAAATCTTACTATGTATAAATGATTATTTTTTGTATTTATGGATGAGTGACATGTCTGTCTTTTATCAAATTAAAACGAAGTATTATCAATTCAATTGATATAAATATATTTCAACATTTTATCGGTTATATTTACCCCTCGTGGTAATAAGGACTTTATTAATATTATGTATATGCTAAATTTGGGAGACTTGTAGGGAGGAAATAAAGTAGAGAAAATTATAAAATAAAGTTTCATATTCAATTCAATTTCCCAATCTCCATACAAATATATCATCCTACTTATAATAAGATAATTCTTAATCATATAATAGGAATAAAACATCTCAATCAAAATGATATCAAAAATTAAATTATAAATCTCAAATCATATCAAATCAACTCCTAAACCATATCAATCTCATAACAGTATATCATTTACATGAAATAAAATATATCATCGAAATACTTAATAGATCACATAAGAAAACTTAAATGGTACTTTTTTTTTAGTACAATTACAATGTTACTTTTTACTCCAAACCATACTATTAAACTATAAATTTTTTTTATCAAAAGATAAATATAATATGAAGTATATAATCATTATTTAACATGATTTATATAATTAATTAATATTAATTATATTAGTGATATATTTAATATTTTTTTTTGTCTGCACAAATCTTTAACTCTTTTCGAAAGAATCAGAGTTTCCAGTTACATTAGTAATATACATTGTGATGAATGGTTAATACCAAAAATGGAACATTTGATTTAAATTTTATATCATATTGTTATAAAAAAAAAATTATATCATATGTTCCCAACAAAAAAAAACAAAAAGAAAAGTATATTTTTGCTACCGGTTGTAAATATAATTAGAAAAAATCCCATGAAACGAAAGTTTTAAAGAATTAGATCAAAATGTAAGAAAATACTTGAGGGGAAAAAAAAAAATTATCGCGAAAACTTCTGCCTCGCCCCCAAAGTCCTTGAACCCTTTTTCGCCCGTAGTTACTTCCTCACTCTTCTTCTTCTTCTTCTTCTCCCTCCCATTCACTCTGCAAATTGCAATGGAGATGGCCCAAATATCCGCTCTGAAGATTTAGCTTAGTTCGCTCGTATATTCTCCTTTCCCCACAATCTAGGGTTACCATCGCCTGTTTGTGCCGGAAGCTCTCTTCTTTCATGTGAGTTCTATATTTTCATCTTCCTTAATCTCCAGCAGTTTTTTGTTGTATGTAAAATTTCATCTCAGGGTTTTGATCTCTTACCCATTTCGCATGGGACTAAATGTGCTGCGAGGTTCTTGGACTTCAAAGTCTGGACCTTTCAGATTGTTACTCCCCATGCCCCAACGAAAGCTAAAACGTGATTCTTATTTTTGGGTTTCTTTTGTTGGTTTTTTGTTTCCTTTTCGTTATTCTCCAGCTTAGTTTTATACTGTGTTCGGGTTTGTTTGTGTTTGTGGGTTTCTTTGGGAATCGATGACCTGGATTTGGGATTTTTGGCCTTCTTGATAAATCTTTCAGAACCTTTTACTTCCTGTTATTCTCTTGGTAGTGCACAGAGTCTTGAAGTTTTGGATTACTTTTACCAGTACAACTTACGTGCGAGCGTAAACGATAAGCGGCTGATATATTTCAAATGAGAGAGCTTTTTGAGACACGGAGTTGATGTTTCCTTAGTTAGACCTTGATTTTACACTTACATACAGCTCTAGCTCAACCGAGTTTTAGGTGAAGCTGAGCTGCTCAAGATCTTAAGTTTGATCCTGACATTGCATGCTTGCGTGGGCATCTATGTTGTTCATCCGAATGAGCGTATACTTCTATTAGGATTGGTTGGCTCTTCTCCAATGGATGATCAATTGCAATTTATTGATTAAATTTGCTTGTTTCTGTTATGTGTTTCAGGGGTAGGAGTAGAAGCCGGAGTTGGAGTAGAAGCCGGAGTAGAAGTAGAAGTCCTCCTCATAGTTTTAAACGAGACTCAGGATTTAATGATAGAAACAGAAACAGATCGCGTGTTTCAACTCAATCGTGCAGAGATTTTTCTTCTGGCAGATGCCGGAGAGGTAACGGCTGTCAATTTCTTCACCAGGATAATCAAAATCTGGATGATAGCTGGGAAAATAGGAACAGGAAGGGCCGATCCCTAAGACCAACTCCCCATGATTTTAGGGACTACCCTAGGAGTGGAAGATCGGCTGCTCATTGTACCGAATTTATGAAGGGAAGGTGTCACAGGGGAGCATCTTGCAAGTATTCACACGATAGTGCATTTCATGAACTGTCACGAGGTTCTCCAAATGATATTAGTCGAGACAGGGAAAATGATAGGAATAAAGAAGCATACTTCTCACGTGGTGAGCGTGAACCTAGCAGTAGTAGTCTTGTTATCTGCAAATTTTTTGCTGCTGGAACTTGTCGTAATGGAAAAAATTGCAAGTATTCTCATCATAGCCAGCCACGTGTCAGTCCAGAGAGGAAGTCGAGTACGGATAGATGGGAACAGGTTCAATGTTCAGATGGTAGGGAACGATTGTGGGATGGCTCAAAATCAAGTGAATTGGCTAGTGGTCCTAATTTTGCTCAGTTGGGAGAGGAAAAAAACGAACAAATTGCTAATCAACAACCAAGATATCCATGGTCTTCAGAACAAAAATGGAGTCATGGTTTGAATAATGAGAGCAAAAGTCAGTGGGATCAAGCTGTTAGTATCAAGGCAGTTCAGAGCAACAAGAATGATGCCGTTCTGTGCAAGGCAGAGGATGGTGGTGGCTGTATAGGAACTTCTGACCCTAGAGGTCATGGAAAGTGGCCCAGTGATGATATGGAGATGTCTCCTGATTGGCACTACCCTGTGCAACCATCCAATCCTGTGGTGAAAGGAGATTGCAACATCATGCAGGATTCTGGCTCTCAAACTTCCATTGCTTTAGCCACTCTCAGCCATGCGATAGCACAAGAGGCTTTGGTTAAGAAGCAAGATATTGCCATAGAGCCTATAATAGTTGATAATACTCATTTTCGGCAGAACCATAATTTAACACAAGATGTTACTATTGCATCAGCATTCAATGATAAGATTACAACTGATAAAAATATTGCTTCTCATGCTGAAGGCACTCCTTCTGGTAAAATCATCCATGGACAAAGAATGGTATATCACACCGACCATCCAGGTGGAAATGTAATGAATCTGAAAGTTGCAGATGGAAATTTCAGAGTCAAATCACAAGATGAGGATGCAAGCATTCCAACGGCAATCAAGTCTGGAACAACAATAACTCCAAGCATAGTAACCAGTGAACAGATTACCCAATTAACTAACCTTTCAGTTTCTCTTGCCCAATATTTTGGAAATGTGCAACCATTGCCACAATTATATGCCTCACTTAATCCGCATAATGTGTCAGAGACATCTTCCTTCCCTTATTCTAATGCACCAGTGGGTGCTTTGGGGGCATCTATGAAGTCAGGTCCTGTAATTGAAGGCCTGAAGCAACATGATCCTACTTTATGCAATAACATAGAGCTGAAGAAGCTCGAAGTCACTAAAACACCCTCAGATTGTTTACTGAATCCCACTGGGCAGAAAAGCGCTCCAGATGGTAAAGAGGAAGTACAAATATCAAACTTGCCTCTAACATCTGGCCCTGGTGACAAGACTGGCATCTCTAGAAAAGAAACTCTTCATGAGAGTGATGTGATAAATCATGGGAAGCCAGCAGCAGCTGGCAAGGCTATAAAAGAGAAGAATGATGATGGGGATTTTGTGAACAAGACTGACCTAGGGGTGAATGAGAATTCTCAAGAGAATGATATTACAGAAAATGCAAAGGGAAATGATGGGGTCAATGACAAGAAGAAAAGTAAAGATGCTAAGGGAATTCGTGCTTTTAAATTTGAACTTGTGGAGTTCGTCAAGGAACTTCTAAAACCTACGTGGAAGGAAGGTCATATCAGCAAAGATGTTTATAAAACCATAGTCAAGAAAGTGGTGGACAAAGTGACAGGTACCTTGCAGGGGGGTCATATTCCTCAAACGCAGGAGAAAATCGATCACTATCTTTCATTTTCAAAATCAAAGCTCACTAAGCTTGTTCAGGTAACCACAAATTTTTATTATTTTTCAAATGAGCTCTCTTTCCACCACTGCCCCCACATTTTATACTTTTCATTGGACAATTGATGATTTTATTTGGTTTATTATATTTCTTAATGATGTCCTCTAATTGTTCAATCATGATATTACAAGTTGATTTTTCTATTACCACATCAAGGTAAACGTAAAAAAGAAAACTGTATTTTATAAGCATTGGTTGGAAGTAATCTTCCCACCGTTTTTCCTATTACATCGATATAGGTATTATATTGACTTTTTGCCCCTGGATGGGTGGCAATGATTTTAGGAGTGCGAATATTTCCTCCCAAATTATCCAGTTTATGTGCTTAACCATTTTTTGCTTGATAATTTGGTTAAGCACATAAACAGTATCTATCAATGCTACTACTGGATAATGCACATAAAATGGATAATTTGGGACTGTTGCATCAACACCAGCTTCTAAATCATAATCAATGCTAAGACTGATTTCCTGATGCTCATAATAATCTGAAAATTCTTCTTCCAAAGCCTACAATGCCTTCGTTAGTTGAATGGATAACCCCTTGAGAAAGACGAAACTTCTTTGAAAAATCTTGAAAAACTTCTTTGAAAAATCTTGAAAAACTTCTTTTAAGACCTCAAAATGAGTAGGGGAAGCATCTATGAACGAAAAAGCTTTCAAATCTTGGCTGTGATTAGACTCCATCAGACCTCAAAAGTCGGGCCTGTTTAGTGTGATATATGAAGAAGATTTCAATGTTAGTGTTAGTAGTGGAGATCCAACAGAGTATTTGGAGGAGGAAGTGGTTGTTAATGATAATTTATCAGATGTTTCCCTACGAGAGGAATTTAATTTACTTTTTGCAGAGGATAATCACTCTTCTGCAAAAATAGATTCCATTCCTTCTCCTTCTCGGGAGCAGACTTTGGTAGTCGAAAAAGCTTCTTGCATAGAAAATCAAAGGTTTTTGAAATTTTTCTGAAGATGTTTGCCTTACCCTAGATCCAATCACTGATTAGGTAGGCTTTTATTATGGCCATCAGGTTTTTGGTTGGTTCCGCTTCTGGTTGAGTTTCTTTCGCTTTTGTGTCTTCTCTTGGTGGAGGGAGGTTCCAGTTTCTTCTCTTCTGGTGATTAGCCTATGTTAAGTGATGATTTTGGTTTCCTCCTTAGCAGTCTGTCCTTTGTTTTGGCGAGTTTTCTTGTAATCAGTGTTCAACATCTGTTCTTGGACTTCAGTTCTCATATTTTTATGGATTTTTGTTTTTTATGTGCTGTTTGTTTTTTTCTTTTTCCTTTTTCGCTTCCTTTGGGAGCTTGTATCTTTTTGAACTTTTTTCTTCCTTTTCATATTATCAATGAAAAGTTTGTTTCTTGTTAAAAAAAACAAAAAAAAACCTCCTTTTGAAAGAATCGGCTTCTACGTTGAAATAATCTTCTGTCATAAGGGCTTTCATAAATTCTTCAACTTGATCATCTTTTTTGGTGCTGTTGGGACATGGGAGTGTATATTGTCAAACAATTTCATCTTGCTGTTGGATTTTAGAGCTCCACACTTTGTACCTCCCACATCTTACACCTATCTCACAAATAGTGGAATATCAACACCGATATTCTTCTTTTATAATTACCCGTAGGATGTACAAATCTTTTCCAAATATGAAGTGACTTTTATAGTGTAGCCTATATGATAATTAGCTAAAGGACTTTCCTTATTTATTCATTAATTAGTTATTTAGTTATTGTGAACCTTGCAGGCTGTGTAGTTAGTAGCCATTAGGTTCATGTTCGTTAAGGTTGTTATTGTGTCCAGGTTGCTTATAAATAATACCTCTTGTTGTGAACTCTCTCATATCATTTTCATTCATTCACAATAAAATTTTAGTGATATTTAGTGGTTATCGGAGCAAGGAAAGTTATTTGATTATTTGATGGCGTTTGGAAAAATTCTACAAGGGCAAAGAGCTATGTCCCTACCCATGGCGTGTTTCAAGCTGTTTTCTTTTGGAACTTGAACATTGCCACTTTGCTTTCGAGGAACTATCCACCACCCTACGTGTCAATTTTGTTGAATCCATGATGAAAATCTTCAAGATGCAATGGATACTATATCTTAGATTCTTAAAAAAATATCAAACTCCTATTGTGGCTCCTTTGGACGACCTAACTTCCTGACATCTCATTTCTGTTGAATACATGATGGGAGGTGCCATATGTACAATATGCCCACAACTACTAAATATTCAACGGACTGTCACGAGGGACAGAAATGAAAGGAATCTTCTAGCAAGGAGGAACAAGAGCTGACTCAGCACACACTATTAGATTAAATTGGAGGAGAGGGCCTAATTATTGTGGAGACCTCTAGTTCATGAAGGAATCATTGTGGAAGATGGTTATCGAAAGCAAAATTGAGCTGACAGATGAAAATTGGTTCCCCAATCAACCTAGACAGAAGTACTTCGATGCTCTGATTGATGGATATTAGTAAAATAGGATATTTCTTTGAGAAAAATATAAGATATAAGCCTGGAAACGACAGAAAAATAAGATTTTGGGAGGATATTTGGATCTCTTCCAGCCTGCTGAGTATCTCCTTCCCTCTTTATTCAAGGTTGCTAATTCCAAGGACTTTCTTTTTCATAATTGCTGGTCTGAAATTAATAAGACTTGGAATCTAAAGTTTAGAAGAGGTTTTATGCCCAGAGAAATAGAAGAATGGTCAAATATCGCTGTGATACTTCAAGATGTTCACCTTAGCCTAGTCATCGATTTTGTCTTGTGGACTGCAGATTCATCTGGAGACTGCTTTGTTAAATTGACTACCAAAGGTTTTCATTGTGGTATTTCTCTTTTTGGACCAATTTCTCAGCAAACTGATTCACGGTGGCAATAGTCCCAAGAAGACATTTCTTTTGTCTGGTCTTTGGCCTAGGGAAGCTTAAATACCATGGATAGAGTCCAAACAGGAAATTCCAACTTGGCCTTATCCTTGAATATGGGCCTTATGTGTAAGAAAAGTGCCGAGTCAATCAACCAGTTTTTTCTCAATTGCTCCTATGCTTATAATGCTTGGAACTTCATTATCAATTGGTTTTATCTTGCTTGCTATCCTCCCAGGAGAATAGAAGACGAGTTTCTTGAGTCACTTTTGGACAGGTGGCAAAATTTTTTATTCTAACTACAGCTTTCCTTTGGTTTTTTTTTTTAAATAAGGAAACTTTAGATCTTTCTCTGCTTCTAAAAATGGCTCTTAATGCTGCATCTATTTTAAGACCTGGACTCTTTATCATGACTTCCGCTCGTTGCATACCCTGATCCTCTACTGCCCAAATAGCATTTCTTGCTGCGCTTTGAGTAGCAAATGGTGTCCCTCTTCTTGTACCTTTGAATCCATAAGTACTGGCAGAAGACCAAGAAATTAGCCTACTTCATATAATTGTAACCGTCACAATTGTATGGTTGAAACTTGCTTGATTATTTTGACGATTTTCGCAATCGGCCTCAAATTGGAGTGCCTTTCACAATCCCTTTTGGAATATTTCTTTCTTAGTCAAGAAATTATCCATTCATTTTTTATTACCAAAAGCTGTGGCTTTCTCTTGTCAGTTGTTTTTGTATTATCCACTTCTGTTTGGTCATTTTTTTGCAGGCATCTTTTTGTACTTTCATTTAATCAGATGAAAATTGGTTTTTTCATTTAAAACCCCACATGACTCAGATCGAGTTTAGTGACAACAGGATACATAAACTCTTTTTAGACTAATTAACGGTATTCGTGGGTTGAGTTAATGGAAATCTTAGATCCAATCAATTGCTTAATGACCACTTCCTTTTCCTTCTTCCTTGTCCAATCAATTGCTTGTGAATTGAAATGTGAATCATTTTTCTAATCTAATGTGTATTGTGTATTGTGTATTTTAATGGATCATTCATTTTATTGGTTTATTATTGTATGTAAAATATATTTTCGCATTTAATAATTGACTTGTAGTAATCATATGAATGTCAAATAAATTTAATAAACATCTAAATATAATATGTAATTATTCCCCAAATGGTGCACTATCACTCACTAATTAAGAATTACCATAAAGAGAGATTTTGATTGCAAGTAATTAGCCTAATTTTTAAGCCAAATTAGTTTGTAACCGGTAGACTTCTCCTAGATGATTATTTTGTCTTGGAATGTCTCAGAGGGTTGGGCTCTTTGGGAGAAAAGGGTGCTCATCAAAAACCTTATTTTAAAGCAAATCCCACCATGGTCATCTTGCAAGAAACTAAAATGGCGTGAATTGATCGTTTTCCAAAGACATAGGCTGGGTCTCTCTAGATTATACGGGATATCGGGTGGTATCCTTTTGTGGAACAACTCATCCTTCCATATCTCCAACATTACCAAAGGTGTCTTCTCCCTGTCTCTCCTCATCTCTTTTACTGATGGATTCAATTTTTGGCTTACAGGAGTATATGGGTCGACCAAATATGAATAAAAAACTCTCATTTGGGACGAATTAACTGACCTTTCTTATCTCTGCACTGGCTTTTGGCTTTTGGGGGAGATTTTAACACGATTAGATGGAGAAAGGAGAAATCAACCTACAGAAGACCCACGAACAATCTGCATCGTTTTAATGACTTCATTGAACTTGCTGCTCTACAAGACATCCCTCTGTCCAATGACCTCTTTACTTGTCAGATTTTGGAGACGACCCTACCCTCACATTTATTGATATATTTCTTGCTACAGAAGCTTTTCTCTCTTATTTCCAGAATGCAATGGTCAAAAGACTGAATCAGTCTACATCAGATCATTATACCATACAAATGAGGATCAACTCCATTTCGATTTGAGAATACGTGGATGGCGGATGCAACACCAAACCTTCTTCCCTTTGGTTGAATAGTGGTAGACTAACACAACTATGAGAGTATGGCTAGGACATGATTTTATGCAAAAACTAACGGAGCTGAAGGCACACCAAACCTTCTTCCCTTTGGTTGAATAGTGGTAGACTAACACAACTATGAGAGTATGGCTAGGACATGATTTTATGCAAAAATTAACGGAGCTGAAGGCTATCATCGAAATGTGGAACAAGAGTACTTTTGGTTGCATTGATCTTAAAAAAATCAGAGCTCATAATACTGGACAATCTAGGGGAATCTGGAGAGTTACAAGTTGTACAAATCACTCAAAGGAGATCCATCAAAGCATAGCTCCTTTGTTTGGCAGCCCAAGAAGAAACAATAGGGTGGGAAAGATGCAAAACCAAATGGCTAAATGAAGGGGACATAAATGCCACCTTCTTTCACACGTATAGCGGCTGCAAAGAGAAGAAAAAGATGCAATCCTTGAGATCTTATCGGTGAACGGTGAGAGTATTTTGACAGAAAAAGAGATTGAAAAAGATTTCTAACTTTTTCTGACTTTATATACAAAGAGGGAAAACGTTTTCCTCCCCCATTTTCTACTTTGAATCCTGTATTTCCTCAATAAAGCATGAAGATAGAGAAGTCCTTCACTGAATAAGAAATTTGAATAGCTGTTGAAGACTTGGGGTCCAACAAAATGTCAACACCAAATGGCTTCCTGGTAAAATTTTATAAAAAGTTGTAGAACTTCCTCGAGAGAAACATAATGAGGGAGTTTTAAGATTTTTTTGAAAATGGAATCATCAATCATACCCCAACGTAACATATGTTTGCCTCATCCCTAAGAAAATTGATGCTCAACAGGTAGGGGACTTCCGAACAATCAGTCTCATCTCTGGTATGTATAAGATTATTGCAAGAGTCCTCTTACAAAGACTCAAGAATCTGTTGCGACAAACCTTGGATTCTCTATCAACCTTTGGATGCGATTGGCAGATCCTCGATGTGTCCCTCATAGCCAATGAGCTCATAGATGATTAGAAAAGGAAGAAGAAAAAAAGTAGTCATTAAGCGTGACATGAAAAATAACCTTGGACAAAGTGGATTGGGGCTTTCTAGATGAGATCCTTGCGGCCAAGGGCGTGGACTAAAATGGAGAAAAGCCCTAAAATGGAGAAGTTGGATTAGGGGTTGCTTATCATCAGCAAACTTCTCCATTATCATCGGTGGTTGTTTTAGAGGTAAGATTACCTCTTCTAGAGGCCTCCACCTAGGCAACCCTTCACCCTTCCTTTTCATTATGGTTGTGGATGTCTTCAGCAGATAAGTGATTAATGGTGCATCAGAGGCTTTGATGTGGGCAACAACTATATTGATATTTTCGTCACCTACAATTTGCAAATGGCATCATCCTCTTCTCCTCCTTTGATGATCAATCCCTTTTTAATATATTCAATACAGTCCGTTTGGGGTTCAATATGAATCATCATAAATTAGAAAATTTAGGCTTAAACTTGGAGGACCGTGAGCTGGATTCACTTACAAACAAGTTTGCTTGTAAAAAAGATATGTGGCCTAACGTCCTTCCCCTAATGGAAACTATCAATCTTTCTCCCTTGAGAAAGTGAAGAAAAGACCCCAATCTTGGAAAACTCCTATATTTCCAAGGAAGGCTCACCCTCATCCAAGACACCCTGTTAAACCACCCCACATATTATTTGTTCCTCTTACATACAAACTCTTGAATGCATCATTAGAAGCTATCTTTGGAAAGGAAACAGTGACTAGTGAGAATAAGGGGTGGGAAAGGAAACAGTCAGAATAAGGGTTTACATTTGGTAAGATGGGAAAACATCCAACAACCACTAGAAATCGGGGGGCTCAGTCTCTTCAGCATGAAATTAAAGAACAAATTGCTTCTCACAAAATGGGTTTGGAGATATATCAGTAAGAAAACAGCACCTTGGAGATAATTCATTGATACAAAATACAGAAACTCTTCTCAGAACATCAAACCAGGTACTTTCTCTTTAGCCACTGTCAAAGGGTCTTGGAAAGATATTTAAAAAAAATCAAAATCTGATTTTTGATAGTTTATCCTATAAAATTGGTAACGAGCACAACATTTCGTTTTGGAATGATTCATGGCTGCTAGAAGATTCTTTGGCCCGAAAGTCTCACCTTCTTTTTGAGCTTTTCCTGAAGAAAGAAGCTCTGCTGTAAAAGGACATTTGGAGTGAGGAGGTATAAGGTTGGAACCTTAGATGGAGGTGAAATTTAGAAATGCTGAAATTGAAGAATGGGCTGCCCTCCTACACCAACTTTCTCTAGTTCAACTGCCCATGCTGAAGATAGATGTCTTTGGAAACTAGAATTAAGTGGCACCTCGACTAACTCTCTTTGGAAACTAGATAAGAGTCTTCTTATGGGTCGCCGGCGAGAAAGAAATAACGAATTTTCAAAGATAAAAGAACTTTCTTTTCACCAATTCTTTTGAAGCTATAGTATATGTGGTTGTTTCTAGGTGTAAATGCTCCCTCTCTTTTATCACTATAGTTTTTCTTCCCTTTTATTCAATGGGAGAAGTTTTATGGAACTCCCTTGAATAGGATTTCCCCTTTTGTAATTCCATACCATGAAATCGTTTCTTATTAAGAAATAAAAAATAAAGTGAGAACAATACAAGACTAGTCCATCTATTCAAAAGGTAAAGAAGTATGGAGCTTTATGATCTCGGAACATTTCCTAGAAGGTTTGGTCAATACTTCGGTATAATGCATTCCCTGAAGAAAGGGACTTCTATTGGGGTGAACTACAAGAACATATCTTTGCTACAGTCAAACAGAAGCTAAGTTTAGCACCTGTGCTCGCTTCTATCACAGTTTGTCAAGCTGTTACATTTGAAGTGGAGGATACCCCTAGACAAGGATTGTAGGAATGTTATTTCAAGGAAGATGATATTGATATCTATTGAACATAGTGAAGCATGCCCTAAACTGGGCCTGTTTGGTATGCTATCTGGATTATGTTTCTTGTTTTTAGATTTAGTGAATATCTGTTTGGCATATTAGTTTTTTAAAACTATTTTTGGATTCTGTGATCCTAATAGTGGAAATTTTTTGTTTTCAGATCTTGAATTTGAAACTTTAAAATGCAAAATTACATAAAAAATTTTTTTTTGATAAATATACTATTTTACGTTATAAACTCATTTCATTTTTGTTAAAATTTAAAAAATTGTAAAATATAATATATCATAAATTACATAATATTGTAAAATAATAACTCTACAAAATTTATAATATATATGTTAATAAATTAATTAACAATTAATATTATTTTAGATTGAAGTAAATATTTAGTTGGTATTACTCCTAATTTACAAATATAATACTAAATACCTTGATCAATTTTTTAAATTGAGATTCAATTTTAAACTTTGATACCAAACACATAGTCGAAAACACCCTTAATAACCTACAAGATGGCTTGCATTCATCTAAAGGTTTGGTTTCTCCCTTTAAGGCATTTGCTCAAGAGTTCAAAAAGAGTTACAAAACCCGAAGTTTTTATGTATTTTTTATTTTTAACTACACTACCTTCACTACTAATCTAGATTGATTGGAGGGTTTTTGTTCGATTCCTCCCCTGGGAAAGGGGATGTTTTGTTCCTTTGTCCTTTAGACTGTTTTGTTGGCTGAAGTTTCTCCTTGAATGAATTGTTCAGTTTCCATCCCAAAAAAGAAGAAATAAGGAAAGATAGAAAAAGATAAGTTTTTGCTAATGCATTGAGCAGAAGGCGTAGCTTACTGGTTACCCTTCAGGCAGAACTTATAGCCTTTGATATGTTGAAAGTATACCTATATGAGTATGCGACCTTTTCATTGTGTAGCACAAGTGTCCAAACGATGAATCTTCCTCTGGCTACATTACTAACCATTACTTATTTGAGAATTTCAACGTCTTTATATCTTTTAATAAGAGAATTACACTCTAGGAAACTTGGACGATATTTAAATAGAGATAAAACCTATAATCAACTAGCTACATGGATTTATTGATCCCAGCGAAAGGAATATGTTAGCAACATCATGCAGTAATGTAAACATCAGACTGTCAAGGGTGAAGAGTAAAAGATATAGAGAGGTCATTCTTTACTGCCGATTCATGAGAATATTTTGGAAGTCTCGGGATGGATTCATCTTAGCACTACCTCAAACTCAATGTGGTTGGTCTTGTGGCTTCAATTTATATAAGCATCTTTTTGGTGACTGTGGCTTGAGAGAAGCAACAGTCTTCCACAAGAAGGAAAAACCTCATAGGATTTTTTGGGACTTTGTTATTTTCTTTAGTCTCTCTTTGTGTAAATTTAGTACCCCTTTTAATTTTTGTAACTTAGCTTGGGACTTGCCTTTCGCATGTCTCTCTCTGTTGTAATTTCATACTATTTATGTTGTTGATAGATATAGCAAAATGACACTTTTTGAGCTCACATCAGTTTGATCAGTAGGATTTAGCATTACTCTGTGAAATAGGATACTATTAACCTCCTCACATCAGGTGATGTTATGTCTCAAGTGCAGTATAAAATCCATTAGGGGGTCGTGCCGAACTTGACTGGAAGAAATGGAACTTGAGCAGTCTGCTAATAGGAAAAGGAAATTAAAAAAGGCCATCTGCAGAATACCTGGAAAATGAAAATGGTTACTGTAGAAAATTGAAAAAAAGTTGGCTGAATGCTTACGTACCCTGTATTGTAATTAGCCTAGGGGCTTTCCTTATTCATTTATTATTTCAGTTATTCAGTTACGAGTGAACTGTACACCTCAGGTAGTTATTTAGCCGTTTGGTTCTCAAATCTTTGGGTTACTAGCGCTTATCCTGGACCCCCGGTTGCTTATGAATATCATCTCTTATAACCTCTGGTATCATTTTAATTGATTCATAGTAATGTTCCAGTCCCATATCTTGTATGCACCATGATCTTTGAAGATGGCAACTAATTCTTGTACAAAGAAAGATGTAAAACATTTCATGAGAACCCTTTTAGGCTTCTTTAAGATCCATTTGAAAATTATAGAAGAAACTAAATTCCATGGTTGACCTGCATTCACGGCTCTTGCTCTTCGTGGTTGTGTGCTCATATTCTAGGGAAGTATTTGGTCTGGTTTATTACGAATTCTGTTGCTGATCTTTTGAAATTTGAATAATCTATATTTTCCTTCTTTCTTTCTGATCTTAATAGTAAACACTTTGTTATATACATCTCCTCAACGCCGCTCGTTTCCTTGTCAGGCGTACGTGGACAGAGTTCCAAAGACAACTTAAGAAGTCGAGGCTGCCACGTACATTCTTATGTATTTTTTTTTCTCACATGTACTAATTTGTTGGAATGCTGCAGCCTTCTGAATGATATTACCATGTCTTACTCATATAATGTAATGTATCTCCCATTAGATGTCTTAGGTACACCTTTTTCTCCAGCCTTTCTGCAAATCAGATAAGATATATATGGAAATCTGTTAGTTTTAGTTTGTGCATTCTTCATCTTTTATTGTTGAATCAATGGTTATCACTTTTGAGGGACCAGTATTCTTTTCCAAGGCTTTCAGTTCTTTTTTCTCTTTACCTTTCCTTTTCCATATTTTTGGAATCACTTTCTTTTATGTGATTTTTGTGTATCAGTAATAATAAAATTTTAACCAGGGTATGTATTATATAGTGATTTTAGATTTACTTTTCTAATTTTTTAGTAAACTTGTTTATGGGTATGATATTTAAAGCAAGAGGAAGGAAAATGAAATCTCATGACCAAACCAACTCTAAGCCATAACTTGGGATTCAATTTATTTATAAGCCATCATCTACTTTGCGATATATGATTGAAGAACTAAACAAAGATGTATGAGAAGTATTAGTCAAAACTGCTGATTGGTTCCTATCACCTCTTGGCTTGCTTTCAAATATGTTCTCCACGATCTTAAAAGTTTCAATTAAATTCTAATAATGTCATTCATTTAATGTGGTATGACTTGTAAAGATTATTTTGTTAAAAGACAAGTGTTAATTATCGAAATTATACAAAATAAATTAAAAACAGATGAAATTGAAGTTGTTGATCCATCAAAAAGAAATCGATATGGATCTGATGGAGTCTACATTGTACGCAGAGTGTCCAAGTGCTTTTTAGGCCTGCTCCGTTCTCTTATTCATTGGTCGAATGCACTAGGGGAGCGAATCGAAAAGTTCAGCTTTACGGAACGGACCAATCTTTCGTACCGAGAAGAGCAAACTCATAGTTTAATGAAAGGTTTCTGTGAGAGGAAAAGAAAAAGGTAAAAGAGAAATGAATGAGTTTGTCAAAGGGCTAGTTTAAGGGCCAACAAGTTTAAGGATTACTTTTCGCTGAAATGGTAAAACTGTGAATTGTTGAGTCTAAGGAAATGTGAAGTGTTAGTCAGAGTTCAGATTCTGAGGAGAAGGGTAGTGGGTGGAAAATGGGATTCAAAGACCTTTTTTTTTTCAAAAAATTAAAAAAGAAAAAAAAAACTTTTTTTGAATGTGAAATTGGAATTTAATGGAATGAATGAATGAAATGCATGGTTTTCTGATCCAAACCAATCCTTCTCGTAAAATGTTCTTTTTTCCCTTTCCAAATCATTATTTCACTCTTCACCTCTCCCTATGGAATCAATCCATAAATGCCTCACTTTCCATTTTCCTTCTTATTTTTTTGCCCTATCATTTAAAAAGGTGTTTTTTCTTAAAAATAAAATATAAAACACAAAACAAAAAAAACTTGTATCATATGATGATAACTTTTTAAAGTGGAAGGTTTGAATATCACCCCTTCGTTTGTTCAACTTAAAAAATAAAAATTTGAGACTATTTTTATCAACATGTATTTTACCAAATAATTTATACCATATTTTCTTATATCACTTCCTTTCTCTAATTATTCCTACCTTTTTCTCCACTAATTTAACTACACTGTTTATCTCATTAACGTCTCTATATATGCTTAATTTTTTCAATTGATTTTTTTCTTTAGGTACATGGTCTTTCATATATTTATTTTTACATATACGTTTTATCTTATCCGCGACTAATTTTCACAACTCTCTAACTAATCTCTTTCTTTACCCATACAATCTTTCTCACACAAATTTTCTCACTTATCTTCACTTATTTATTCTAATTGTTTTCATTATTTTAGTGATACGAATGCCAATTCTTAAAATGTTGTTGAACTCAAATATTAATCATTCTAACTTTTTTTTTCATATTTAAATGCATAATTCAATTTATGTTTTGAAGGCTTGTTTTGCTTCAATCTGATAATAAACTGTTTCACAACCATTATATTTTTAGAAATTAGTATTGTTTACTAATCACATTGTTTTTTATAAACACTTTTTTCAATTGGGTCTCAATTAAAAAAAAAAATTATTTACAAACAAACAGGACTTCAAAAAAATACATCTGAAAAACAAAACCGTCATCAAACGTAGTCCTAACCATTTCCACTTTCACTCAAAATGGGATAAAGATATTACATATATATATTAGAAACATTAGGCAACACATTGCAGGTTCATCTATCAAATTTTTAGTTGCACAAACTTTTGTGTTACTTGGGGTAATTGGGTGCAAAATCTGGTGAATAATGAACCAAAAACCCTCACCCAAGTTAGGTTTATTATTATTATTAACTCCTTTTTTTTTCCTGTTCTAATAGAGATTGGGAATAGGAATTTGTGTACAAAAAACCTAAATTGGCATACCCTTTATGGCCTCAATTATTTATGTTGCTCCAAGACTTGATGGTCCTTAGCCTACAAAATTAAAGTTTTGTTCTTGCTGCCTTCTAAAATACACCCACATGCTAAAGAAGCAACAATAAATGGCCATTGGGCAGCCCTTTTGTTTTCAATTTCTAGGGATTCCATTGGAAGGTAATTGTATTTTGTAATCCACAATATGATAATGTTGATGATGATTTCAAAAATTGTTGCTTTAAGGTATTGAACAAAGGCAAAGTTAGGTAATTTCATATATTTTTTTATCACAGTATAATTGCACATAATTAACCATGAATCTATAGAGGGTGAAAGTTAAATAGTTTGATTAGGTTGTTCATGTATTTCACATAATGTAATATAATTGAAGGTTAAAATGCAACTATAAACTTCTTTTCAAGAACAAAAGTTATTGATAGCGTTCTAGTTTCTCTCGAATTAGCATGTATATAGATTATCAATATTAAAATATTTAGATATCTTTTGTTTAGACAAGTCAGTCAAACATAACGTATAGGTTTCACATACACCTATATATATTCATCACGGGTATTATTAATTAGGAACTTTCAAAATTTCCCAATAACCCAAAAAATCTCATTATTACTCAAAGGATCATGAAATGTAAACCCTAAAATCAATAAGAAAGGGGCGTTGAATCGTCCCGTGAAAAAAGTCGAGTATGAACTCATTCTCCGCACACTAGAAAAAAGTATTATAACCCATACAGATTTAATTGCTATAGTACTAGTCTTTTTAACGTATAGGAAATTTTGTGTTTGAAGAGAATGAAGATATGAAACCCTAGCCATGCCTAAAAATGGGGTTTATGGAAACCCTAGAATGATTGCCTTTAGGGCATGCGCAGCTCTACATGTAAAAAAACAAAACAAACAAAAAAGAAAAAAAAAAGGAATTTGTAATTACAAATGGAAGAAGAAGAAACTGCCGTACGGAAGAACAAAAGGGAATGACATAAGAAAACATGCCCCCCCACGGAGGCTGATGCAATTTCTGCCCTTGGCTTTTGGGACCATGGAAAACAAACCTCCCATATCAAATTCTCTTCCTTTTCCTTTTCTATGCTTCAAAATTAATGTTCGGGAATCAGTAGCTCAACGGTTAAGGTATCTTGCTGATCTTTTCCTAAACATCGAAGTTTTGATTTCTTGTTCCTAATTAAAACATTTTTAGAAAACAATAGTAGTCGTTCTTATTCACGTTCGGATATGGGTTATCTTTATCGGGTGGAGAAGTTTTAGTAGGACGACTTTTTATTAAATATAACATTAATGAACCAACCGAGATGAACTATTTAGGAATTCTTGTACAATGATCATGTAGGTAGTCAAGTTGTAGTCTTTCATTATTTTTATGTATCTTTCCCACTTTTAATTAACTTTAAACCACACATGGATGAAACGGTAATACTGTATGATCAAATAGTTTCTTTTACAATATTAGTTCATATAGTCGACGTTGTCTTTCAAATGTGACTTTGGTTTTGGAAGAATTTTTTTCTTTTTTTTGGTCAGATTATCCCTTAAATCAGATATTAATTTGATTGACAAGTAATGAATTAAAAAATAATAGGGTAGAAAACTTCATAATAATGGGTTTTCTAAATTACTTCTTTGGATGACTTTTGAATCTTACTTTCTTTCTTTTCTTTCTAAACTATCTTTGTGTTTGAGCATTTTGTGGTTGTGTATAGTAAAAAAGGTATTCAATTTTATAGATGGCTTTGTGACACACCGGAATATGATACGAAATAAAATAGTGTTTCTTATCTCTACAACATAATTTACGACCTAACTATTGGATTACTTTAATATCGTCTTTGTTACAAATGAAAATCGAAAGACCATAAACACAACTTTTTGAATTAGAACAATGAATATCTATCTATATATATATACATACATACATAAATAGATATATACAGATATGTTAAATAGAAGATCGTAGGAGAGAAAAATATGTATGTCTATATATATAAACATGTTAAATAGAAGATTGTATGAGTGAAAAAGAAGATGAGAGAGAAGGGGGAGAGCAAAGCATATGGGGTTGCAGAAAGATGAAAGAAAAATAAGGCAAAGCCCTGTAAGGGCTTTGATTACTAGGGGCAATTCTTTGGAGGAAAAATGTTCCAAAAACAGAGAGAAAATAATGTTAACCCTAGATCACTCCTTTTTCCCACTTTGCCCCATTCCAAAACCACATATCCTTTGATTTCCATTTCCCAATCCCTCTCTTTAAAACCACCTCTTTCACCACTTCTCATCAACAAAACCCTCAATTCCCTTCATTACCCCTTTTATGGAACCCCCTCACCTCTCCAACTTCACTTCCCATCATCTGATCCAACTCTCCTCCATGGATGACCACCGCGTCCACGACCTCGACCTCGACTCCATTTGGCCCGCCTCGTTCTTGCCTCTTCAACCCCACGATCCCCGCCAGCAGCAACTCCCTTCTCCTTCTTCCTCCACCCACCTGCTGATAGGTTACGATATATTTAATCATTTATTTAATTAACACTTGTCTCCCAACTTTAAAATTAGTGTCAATATTAATTAGAAAACACGGAGGCAGGTGATGATGAGGAAGAGCCCGAAGAAGAGCTCGGGGTCATGAAGGAGATGATGTACAAGATCGCGGCGATGCAACCGGTGGACATTGACCCTTCGACCATTCGGAAGCCGAAGCGGCGGAACGTTCGGATTAGCGATGACCCGCAGAGCATTGCCGCCCGTCTCCGGCGAGAGAGGATCAGCGAGAAGATCAGAGTTCTTCAGCGGCTTGTGCCCGGTGGTACTAAGATGGACACAGCTTCCATGTTAGATGAAGCCATTCGCTATGTCAAGTTCTTGAAGAGACAAATCCGGTTGCTGCAGGTCAGTCAGCCGCAACAGCCGGGCACCGGCGGTGGCGCCGCCGCCGGAGGGTGGCCGTTTACATTCGATAAGGCTAACGGTTCAACCTCCTCATCCACTTCCTTGGAAGCTCCTGCCATTACACCGTCGGGATGGTGAGAATTAATTATATGTAATTAGTTGATTATGTGGTACTGGTTAATTACTAATTAATTAGAGAAGTGATTAAATCAAAATGTGCAATTTATATATATGTCTGTAATTGTATTTTTGGAAAAATACTCATCGATTAAATTTAATATATCCTAACCATTTAAAATTTTTTGGTCTAGTAGAAGCCCAAACCTCAATTAGTTAGACGTAATGTTTGTTGAACTCAAAAGAAAAAAAAAAATAATCTAGTGTAGTCGATCTCTTTTTTTGGTTTTTTTTTTTTTTGTATATATTACTTTCTAATGAGTGAGTATTAACCTTTTCTTTCTTTGAGTATACAACATTATAATTTGAGTATTCGAACATTCAAAACTTATACTAAAGTAAATTTACTAATATTTTAACAATTGCATTATATAATTTAACCTATTTTTTAAGCTAACGATTTAGGCCTATAGCCTCTTGCTAGCAAAATTAATGTTCGAAATGGAGACACTAAAAGTATATATTATACTCTTAAGGATCGATCCCACATTGGTTTATAATAGATATGAGCTGTTTCTCTCATTGTTAATTGATTTTGAAATGAAACTCCATGAATGTTAATATAGTACAGAGTCCAAAACGTTCAAACGAGCAACCACCCACATTGAAAAGAGAAGAGACCTTGTAATAGTTTATAATAGACAGTATAAAATTACCTCCACAACCGTTTGTTTCTTATTTTTGATTGGATAGATAAGATACGACAGCGGAGACTTATTTTATATGAAGTGTGGGATAATGATTGGTGTTGGGTGGGGTTACGTAGGAGGATATATATTAAAATGGGAACTATCATTTGGAGTGTTGATGTTTGGCAGGAAAGTTTGTTTGGCCGACTCTCTTCCTGGAATTTACAATGACGTGAGGTCCTCTTCAATATCATTACTCTCTTTCTTTTTCTCTTTTCTTTCTCATCTTCATCATAAAAACAACATACAATAAACACAGGGATCTGGAAAGTGGAGCTCCAAAATGTGTCAAAAAGAATCAGAATAAATATATATATATATATATATGTATTAATTATGTTTGTTTCATATGTCATTGTTTTGGCCTATACAAGTTCAAATTCAACCATATTTATTAATGCTCATCATCTTTCAACTCCATCAACTATATATATATATATATATATACATAATTTGTGTTCTAGCTAATTTTCTCTTACAGAACTTTAAAAGAATTGAGGTTGTGGGTTTTGAAAGTTTGATGAATGATTGCAGTTATTGGTGTTTCTATGAGGTCAATGAGATACAATTAGATTAAAGAGTAACATGAAAATTGAGTGAGCCATGTGTTTGTCTCGAAAGAAGATACCCACCAAATTTTCGTACCACGAGAGTACATACTCTTTCGCTATTTACACTTTTTTATTTTACTTTTTAGAATCGATGTCGTATGGCTTACACTAGTGGATTTCAATAACCGAAGCTTGTTGCCTTGAGCTGTGCAAAACATTGTGACCAGCGCTAACTTGAACTTGAGACTTAGGTGTACCTTAAGATCTCAGGGCACTTACCTCAAGACTTCTTCCATGTATACTTTGACTTTGACACATCACTGAATGATATATTATTTTATTCTATGGATCCACGCTATATTTTAAATGTTGTTGAGTTGACCAACCATAAATGAGAGGAATATTTTCTTTGCTTGGTGTTAAATTCAAAGAGTTATATGAGTATAAAAATAAGTTTTGGCTTGGTCTCTAAAATTGATATATTATGAATATTACAAATTTATTTGCACAACAAAGATAATATATTAATTTTAGGAAGGGAAGTAGCTTTCTTAGAGTTTGTGCCCCTTTGGTCAAAGTATGTTGATTTTATGTGGCTATTCTATGAATTTCAAAGTTATATCATTTGTTGTTCGCGGCCATGTTACTGCAAATTGAATTTATATATATGGTTTATTTTTTTGCATTCATGTATTAACTGTGCAACCTTACGATATTAGTTATACTATGTTATCATTATAAATGAGGTTATATAGTTTCYTATAAAGTTTTTAACTTTTAATTTATAACATATCTCAATTAGTTAAGTTATATATCGTCGATCAAAAGATCCTTTTTTGCTATAATAAATTATTTTTTTCTCACACATATACAAGCGTGTGTGATAGTTTGATTTATAGTCATGCTCTCATGATTCAACTCTATGAGATTGGGTTTGAAATATCTTTGTTGACCTGTCTGAAGTTCTTAATAGAAAAATTTGTACCACACAAATTATTATTATCCTTCTCGACTTGCATGTTTGACGCTGGCATATTATATACGATGCAGAAGAGTGGTTCATGATGCAATTTAGGTGATTGCCCATTCAACAATCTTCAATGACTATAGGTAAAAAAAGTGCTGTCCAAACTTGAATATAAATGTAAGTATCCTGGAAAGTCTTCCAATTTAGTCGATATTTACAAAATTTTCATACAAATTCTACGCAAAACTATATTTAGTGGAAAGTAATGGTTACATTTTAAAAAATATATTAATTAGTGTATCGTATGCCAATATCACATTGGCAATGCACTAGGGTATTGACATACATGACAGAAGTTCAAGTCTTTGATTGCCTCATTGTTTTTATTAAATAAAAGTTTTTTTTCTTTTTAAATAAATTTTTTCGTTTATTTTTTTTTAAACAAAATTAAAAAATAAAAAATTTATATTATAAAAAACGATTTTAAATTGCATACTAAGGTCAGGCAAGAGCTTTGGGTATTAACAACCATATTAAAAGTTCAAGTCTTTATGTGTGCCTTGATTTCGTTTTATTTCTTTTTTTTATTTATCATTGTTTT